TACAAAATCTCATTGTTTTTTTTTAAGTTTGAAAAAAAATATTTCATTTATTTATTCCAGAGATGGAGAAATACACACACACACACACACACACACACACACACACACACATATATATATATATATATATAGAGAGAGAGAGAGAGAGAGAGAGGGAGAGAAGGGGGAGAAGCAGAGGGAGAAGGACAAGCAGACTCCACACTGAGCACAGAGCCCTATGCAGGGCGGGATCCCACAACCCCAAGATCATGACCCCAGCCAAAATCCAAAGTCGGACACCCAACCGACTGAGCCACTCAGGCACCCCCAAAATCCCATTGTTTTATCATGAATATGGGATTAATTTAGAAGTGAGAAACAAAAAAACTAGGGATAAATAGGACATTTGAAAGGAGATATAAATGGTGAGATGCCCCAAAGGCCTGTCTAATTTAATACTTTAATATGTTGTGGATCAGGGATCAGGAAACTTTTTCTGTAAAGGACCAGATAGTAAGTAATTTTGGTTTGATGGGCCATACGAGTGCTAGTATGAAAGCACCCATGGACAATTGTAAATAAATGCACTTGGCTGGGTGCCAATAAAATTTTATTTTTAAAATGGACAGTAGACTGGATTTGGCCCATAGGTGGTAGTTTGTTGAATCCTGTTAGAGATGGATAGGAATATACTATGTGGGAATATGGGCTCTGTTGTTAGATGTATCTGGATTTGAGTCTTACCTCATACTCGCTAGTTCTGTGTTCACGGATAATTTTCTTAACTACTTTAAACTTTGATTTCCTCGTCTGCATAATAGATATAATAACAAAAGATATATAAAAGAGTCATTGTGAGAATTGAAGAAGAAAATACACAGAAATCAGAGTACAATGCCTGACATGTGTTTAGTAAGTGGTCAGTAAATTGTAGCCATTATTATTATTATTATTATTATCATTGGGGGAAAACTGTAGGAAAACCTTGTGAGAGGGAAGAAAGATAAACTTCAGTGTTGTTTTAAGGATATGTATTTATTAAAGCATTCCAGCTATATTTTTAGAGTGGTGGGATTTGTGTCATCAAACACAACTTAAGAAAGAGAAGTACAGCTTTCAGGGGAGGGTCCACAATGACTCTTCTCTCAAGATACTGATGAAATCCAAAAATTCCCCAGAATTACTGGATGCCATTTTAAAATCATCAGTAATTTTTAAAAAAGTTATCTTGTTCAAATTTATTTTGTGTCCACACCTGGAATTCTGCATACATTTGTAATGATTGTCCTTCACTAAATACAGAGTAGAGCTGGAGAAGATTTAGAAAGGACATGCTGAAGAGTGGGGTGAATGCATGAGGGCCCACTATCTTTAAATCAAATTTATAACACTGACCTTATAAGGGTGTGGTGAGCACTAAATGCCAGAAATGGATATTCTATTTTTAGTAATGTGAACTTAATTGAGTATCGTTAACAAATTAAAGCACTTAACACTGGGCCTGGCATAAAGTAGGCATTTACCAGCTGTTTGTTCCCTTTATTTAGGTGTGCACAAAACTAGACTTTATGCCCAAAGGTATGAGTCTTCCATTCATAGGGAAAACAAATTTTACAAGGTTCTCTATTGGGTTACTATGAAGCAAATGGGGTTGATGGAATACAGTTACAACTAGGCTTTTCGCTGAACTGGACCAACAAGAGAACTAGTGCCATGTTAGATATGTACTAGAAATCAGTGTGCAGGAAGCAGGTTCAAGTAAACTCAAGAATCAAAACCAATATCAGGAAGTGGTATGGATAATTTAGTACATAAATGCTCTAAGTTATAGTGGCAAACAATGACTGGACAGCATGGTCTAGGCACCAAGATCTTTCTACTGACTCTACTAAATAGTGTAACTCACTTCTGGGACTTTTGTTTTTAAAATGTGAGCAGTGAATCTTGCATGAAGATGATATTGAGGATCCATGACACTATACTCCTTTGAAGGTTCTTCCATTCTCTTGGCTAAGTGAGACCTGAAATTTCATAGGGAGACAATGAAACATACTCACCAATGTAGAAGGCTTTATGGATATGACTTAAACTCCCAGAACTTTCTCAAGGGCATGTGTGTTAGATTTTGCCAAAATGCTGGTATATTCTAAATGCTCTATTTTGTTTCAGGAATGACTAATGTGGTCATAGGCTCGCTAGTGCTGGGTAGAAAAGATCTTCCATCCATAAAGGGGTGATATCTGTTTTTCCATCCTGGATGGAGATAAAGGCAGTGACAGCATGGGCCCTATGTGCTGCCATCTGGACAGAAGAGAAGTGGTGAAAGTTAGGACAATTATATACTCCTCCCTCTTTAGAGGTGCTTGTCTGGGGTTCAGGTCTATAATCATGCATTATGCCTTCATCCACAATGATATATTCTAATGGTTAGACTGAACTGTGTAGTATTATAAGTAATTAATTGGGTTTAACTTGGTGGTATTTCCTTGGTATTACCCCAGTGTTCACAGCAGCAATGTCCACAATAGCCAAACTGTGGAAAGAGCTGAAATGCCCCTCAACAGACAGATAAAGAAGATGTGGTCCATACATACAATGGAATATTACTCAGCCATCAGAAAGGATGAATACCTAACTTTTGCATCAACATGGGTAGGACTGGAGGAGATTATGCTGAGTGAAATAAGTTGAGCAGAGAAAGTCAATTATCGTATGGTTTCAATTAACTTGTGGAACATAAGGAATAACATGGAGGACTTTAGGAGAAGGAAAGGAAAAGTGAAGGGTGGAAATCAGAGGGGGAGACAAACCATGAGAGACAGTGGACTCCGAGAAACAAACTGAGGATTTTAGAGGGGAGAGAGGTGGGGGGATGGGTGAGCCTGGTGCTGGATATTAGGGAGGGCATATATTGCATGGAGCACTGGGTGTTATACATAAACAATGAATCTTGGAACACTACATCAAAAACTATTGATGTATTGTATGGTGACTAACATAACACAATAACAATTAAAAAAAAAAGAAGTAATTACTTATGGCAGGTACCATGGTTCTGGGTATGAACAGAGTTAACTGCAGTAATTAAAAACCATAGACATTTTGGAATTTTATTACAGCTGTAGACAAATGAGAGAGATTTAAAAAATGAGGATGACTGTTGATGTAAGGCTCCCAGGGAGGCCAATCTTCTGTGGACTCACTATGGTTTACACTGTGGTACTGACTTTGCATCATAAGAATCTTTTACCCCCACCCAGGGAACTCATCAGTGATTGGGATCTGGAGGATTGATCCTATTAAAACCCACAAAAAAAGTGATGTATAAGTCAAAACCAATTTATTTATTTATAATGAGAATTAACTGCTAAATAGGCTAGAATATTCATGTCAGCTGATTAACAAATTTCCTCCTCATAACAAAGTTTATATGGGAACATAATTACAATCAGATTACTTCTCAGCACATAGGGTCACAGCAAGGGGAGTTAGGTGGCAATCTGAATGGCTAATAACATAAGTTGGGATGGCCTGGTGCCTGGACCCCACTGTATATAGACCTGCCAAATCATATATTGGTCAACATCCCCTCTCTGAGTCTGGAGAGATTACCCTATGGCTCTTTAACTGCCCCCTTTTCTAGACTCCCTAAAGACTATTCTCTTGTTAACAATTCCTTCTTCAGACTTATAAAATGATTAGACCTTATCTTGCTGGATGGTCATCAATCATGTAGCAGATCTGCCTTCCTAAAACTACAATTTTGACTGGACTTGGGGACTCCCCAAGCCTTTGTAGTTGCAGACTACATGACCAAGTAGGTTACATCTCATCTGTTCTTAGTAGATTTTAGTTTCACTCTCAGAGAAGTTCACTTTGGTATAAGTTCTGATATCTGTGTAGCTCTCTTTATGCTAAATAATGAGTTTGTTCTAGTTGAAGTGGATGGCGTCATTATAACAAAAATTTTAAGTGATAAACACAATTCTGGCTAGCTAGTAGACAGTAAAGAATTATCTCAGTATCCTATCCCTATGCTCAGTATGATTGTTGGATTGTATCACATAGAACACAAGAATTCCTTGACTAGGAATTCCTCAACAAGGGGCTTCTAGAAATGGGAGGTTTAGTAGCCCAGAATTAATTATCTGTTCCAAGAGGCTATGAAATCTGAAGATTTCGTGGAGAATAAGGTGATGTTGCTGCAGAGAAGGTCCAAACAGGAAATAAGGTGATGCATCTTTGTGAGAGAGCACATAATGACAAATTATGTCCCCGAGGTAAGGAAAGATTGGTGATGAAGCATTCCAAGACCATACTGGAGTCAGTAAGGAAAGTGACTGAAGGCTGTTGGGTTACTCTCTTGTTATAGAATTGAGGGTGCTAGGTCAGGATACCTCCAGGTAATCCCAGAGACATTTAAAGTTTAAATAAATCTACTTGTTAGAGGCTTTCCTATAATCCCAGTACCATAGTAAGAATTTCTTGGCATAATTGGAATATGTACATTCCAATCTCCTTGTTGTGAGAACATATGGAGTAAGGTGGATGTATAGCAAGCCATTAATAAAGGAGACCCCTTGTGGATGCAAATTAGGTTTGGCACAGTGGTTAGTGAGGCACTGATGGGAAAAATGATCTACTTGTTAGTTAAAGGATGAAAGTGGCAGGTCCTAGGTGGGTTTAAGAATTGTCAAAGTTAGCATAATTCTTCAGGAACAAGGCCAAAGTACAATAACACTTCATGTTCTGAGAGGTCTTGATGGCTGCTAGGGAATATGGAGTTACTGATCTTCAGGAAATCAATTATGGGGACATACATCAGCGCCAAGAAACAGGGAACAGAGGACTGAATATTACTAGCAAGCATCAATTGTTACTGGATATCTTTAACAGTTTAGAAAATTGTGTCTCTCCAGCATGACACTACTTTTGTTCAGAAGCATTAGGAATCCATACATGGAGCTGATGTGTGTGCCTGTGTGCAAAGAGCACAACAAAAGCAATCAAACTCACTTCTTCTTAAGATTTATTTGTCAATAGTGTTGAAGTCCATGCCCCAGGATTTGTCAGATGGGATGGTTCAGAAAGTTGTTTGCCATTATTTGCTTTTCAAGATTCTCAACTAAATGAGGATCCCCAGAGATGATCCATAAGGGTATAGAGCTCAATATCAATGGTAGTGATCCTAAATGGTGACCACACTGAGACCTCTAGAGACAGAAACTACTACAAAGCCTGACCCCAAGTCTTCAGTGGAGATTTATTTAACCAGGTTCCCTTACCTGCCAGGTAAGACAGCAAAGACATGCTATAGACATAATAATTATGATGAAGATTCCTTCCCCAACTTTTGTTAGTATTTTTCAGAGGTCATTATCCTAGACCATTTAAACTTGGCCATTAGACATGCTATAACCTGAAGTAGGTTGTTGGGAAAGAGGAGAGTAACTTGGAATTAGTTGGGTTTGGCTAAAAACATGTATGTGTCTGAAGGGCTAGTTCTCAAGGAAATAGACCAACAATTCCAATCAGTCTTCAAATGGCCAGGCCATCTGGTTTTTCAGTAGTTAAAAGATCCAGGGTGTTTTTCTTTTCTTTTCTTTTCTTTTCTTTTCTTTTCTTTTCTTTTCTTCTTTCTTTCTTTCTTTTCTTTTCTTTTTCTTTTTTTAGCAAGTAGAGGTCTTTAAATGGCAACAAAATACATAGCTGTATGGAATAATAGTGGAGCTGTGTTTCCATGAAGATTAGTTTGTATTGAAGCTGGACTCTAGTCAATAGGTAGGAGCAGGTTTCAGCTTCCAGTAGAAAAATGTTGGTAGGATATGGAATGCAATCAGGAATTCAAGGGTCCTAAACCAACAGGGAACTATAATACAGATGGATGAGGGTTAGGGTGAAAGTCTTGGGCCCAATCTTAGGCACAGAAGACTTAAGCCAACAAACTCAACCCAGATCTCACCCTTTGGAAGGAATGGGGTTCTCAGTGCACTTCCAGGGTTGTTTTCATTTGGCTCAGACTGGCTAGAATTTCATCTACAGACTTTCAGTACTCTTGGGGAATTGGTTCCAAATGCAGAAAGTGCCTGTGAGTTGTTTTCATCATTGTTGGGTGGGTTTGGTTTGGTGATGGGTGACCAAATGAACAAAATCTAGTTATTTAAATTTCCAGAAGCACATGAGTTCATGACAGTCTATGAAGTGGTATCACAGTTCCTCACCTGTATTTTTTTTTAAGATTTTATTTATTTATTCGACAGAGAGAGATCACAAGTAGGCAGAGAGGCAGGCAGAGAGAGAGAGAGGAGGAAGCAGGATCCCCACCAAGGAGAGAGCCCGATGCGGGGCTCGATCCCAGGACCCCGGGATCATGACCTGAGCCAAAGGCAGAGGCTTTAACCCTCTGAGCCACCCAGGCGTCCCAATCCTCACCTGTATTTTAAATGTTAGTGCAGGATATACATTTTTAAGGCTGGAGGTGAGAGGGAGATAAGTTTACAATGTGACCTGCTCTCTTACTGGTGAGTTGGGTTGTTTATCCTTGCTGGGGCTCGAGAACGTTTGGCAAGGCAATCTCTTGTGAAGTGACCAGCCTGGCTGCAGTAGAGGCACAACTTAGCTTCTTGCTGGCGGGCTCTTTTGGCCGGAGTGAGTGGTGGCTGGCTTCCACGCAACTGTATAGGTTCTTCCTTGGGTGGCAGATCTGTGGGGATGGAAAAGGCTTGGTGGTGGATCAAGGAATCCAACACTGGGAGCTGGGTCTCTGACTGAAGAAGCTCTGGCCTGTCACTACGTTTCTTGTCCAACTGAATACACTGAGTGATCAGGTCTGGAAGGTTGTCCATCATATCTGTGCCACTCAAATCATCCTGGATGGAGTCAGCTAGTCCTTCTTGGAAGTGATCACTCTGACTGGTTTCATTATAGCTCAGATTTTGAGCAAGGTGCTGGAAAGTAGAAGCATCTTGCTGAGAAGAGTTGTCCTCTTTGTTCAGAGGGTCTATTTCCTGTTTTGTAGGCACACCAAATGATTGCTGGAACTCAAAAACAAAGTTCTCATATTGTTTCTGCTGAGTGCTCTGGTCAGGCCCAAATATGACTCCACAACTTTCCATCTGCTGAGATAAGTAGTCAAAAAAGAACTTGATTTGGACATCATCTGCAGGATTGGGGAACTTGAGAGTTGTCAACTGTGCAAGAAATATTGAGAGGTTGGCAGGGTCATGGTGAAACTGAGAGAGATGTTCAAGTGAGCGGGGTACAGACATCATCACGGTAGCCAGGGTAGGCATGACTTGGCCCCTCAGATCAGAGCCCTCTTCATTTAGATGCTGTATTTGTGGCTGTAGAATCAGATTCTCAGTCTGAAGGGAGGAATGCTCTGCTTGCAAGGTAGGTGGTGATTCTGTGTACTTCTCCATTGGATCTTCTGAAATCAAGTGAAACTAAGTAGAATTGAGTGACAGTACTGGACACCAATGGGCAGACAGTAGGTTTCCTCTGTTATCAGAAAAATAGTGTCATGAACAAGTAGCCAAAACTGCTACTTATGAAGCAGTCACAAGGGGACACTGAGAGATGAATTGGAGAGATGCCAAAACTGTTGCCCACTATTCAATGTTGACTCTTCTCATGGAGAATGCCAATGTTCTGCACATTCAGAAGTGATAAATTACCCTAGGACACACAGAGAATTAGAATTAAGAAGACAAATACAAAAGTCACAGATTTCTCTCCCCATTCCCTTTCCTTGTAACATAGAGGGAAATTTACCGTCGAACTAAGCCTTTGATTCTAAAGTATCTCTTTTTTATCAGAGATAATTATTATTATTATTAAAGATTACCCAGGCCAAATTCATAATTTCATGAATGAGAAAACAGAGACCCAGAAAGGTAAAGATGTTTGCCCAAGGTCACACAACTACTTAATATCAGAGCTGGCATGCTCACCAGTACTATTGTCAGAAACAGCACTTCCTCCAGGACCACAAATATGTTAATTTGTACATGCTACTTGGGCATGATGATGGTTCATGGCCCTTGCTACTTAAAATGTAATCTGGGAGCCAGCACCTCAACATCACCAGGAAGACTGTTAGAAATGCGGACTCTCAGGTCCCAACCCAGACCTATTGAATTAGTATTCCACTTAAACAGATTTGCCGGGTGATTCAAATGTGCACTGAAATTTGAGAAAAGATTTTTTTAGAGAGCAAGTAGCTTAACCGGAATAATCACTGGTTGGACTTGAACCTCAATGCCCCAACCCTAGCCTGCATTTCTATAGTGATCTGATTACTATGGTGGTAGTTAATCCATGTTTTTTTAGATTCCTAGTCCTTATCTAAGGTCACATTTGGCTGTAATGGAGGCTTAACATACCGCAGGCAAGATGAAGAGGTGGTTGGGAACTTAGTAAACAAGAACAGAATATTCTTAAAAGTATAAAGATCAAAATGTTTAGTAGTCATCCCTGCATTGATAACGAGAATAAAGGAATCTGTTAGTTAAAAAACAAACCCCAAACATATGGCATATCAGTTGAACTATTCTTCAGTATAATTCCTCTCATTGTCCTTTCCTTGTGTAGCATACCATTTAATTGTATATAAATTGGTCACTAGTGGGCAAAAATGTGCATCATTGAGTGTAGGACTTGATTCTCTAGGTTTTGTTTGCTGGCTCCTCCTCTCTGGACCTATGGAAGAGATTACTGGAGGATTGAAACTGTGTAAGATTAGAGGCCAGAAACTTACCCGAACACTGGCATTAATCAGTTGGATGACATTAAAGAACTCATTTGGGTCTCAATTTCCTCTTTATTCTAATGAGGTTGACTAACTTGTCCACATCAGAGGGTTGTGGTATCAATGAGATAGTAGATAGATGCTCTAAGTGGCAGAGAGATGCTCTCAAGATTGTTCCAGGGCAGCTAACAATATCATTGGTGAGGCTCTTTCGTTGTTGCATATTGCCAAAGAAGGCAGATACTGTCATATTCTTTCTTCCTTCCTTCCCATATCTCACCATTCTAGTTAGTCTACCTTTTCATTTTCCAGGTGCCCATTCACGAATTTATTTCTGTCAATCCAGCTAGGTGTCATTGAAAAGTAAGATGTTAATTAATTAATGAGGTTTAATGATTGGCCTTTCTCAAGTCATTCACCTTTTCCTCAAACTTTAATGTGCATAAGAAACAACTTGGCACCAATCTCCAACAATTCCAATTCCTGGGGTGGATGCCAGGAATCTGTACTTCTAGCAAGCTGCCCAGGGGATTTCTGATGTTGGTGGTCCCTGTGAGAAAGCCATCCAGATGAACCTCAAGGAATAAAGCCATATTATAACATCACAAGAAGTAAGAATGGGGGAGGGGACATATTTGGAAGTAGGAGGCCCTCAAATGACATTGAATAATAGGTGGCATATACTTCTGCATAAAGTCCACAGAGAGCTCACACTGTTTTTCAGAACTGTTCTTCTCTCCCAGACAGTGGAGTGTAAGAATTTAGCCTGTAGTTTCTACAGTCAGACTGACCTGGGTCCAAATCTTGGGTTGGCCAAAAGTCATGTGACTCTAGAAAGTTACTTAATCTCTCCAAGAACCAGTTTTCAACCTTTACAATGGAGGTGATTTTAATACCTTCCTCATAGTGTTGTTGTGAGTATTAAATGAAATGAAAAGAGATTAGCACAGCTTCATGTACATGGCAGATGATTCATAAATGTTAGCTATCATTTTGCTAGGTCCACAGTCTGTTATCTGTGTTTTAGAATTTAATTTTTTTTTAAATTTTTGAAAGGTAACACAGAGTTTATACTGTTTATTATATAACACTCCCAGTGGTTCCAGGAAAATATCCCATAATTCAGCCATTAATTATTCAGGAAAAATGTAGGAAAAAAGGTCAGAATATTCATACTAAAAGAAACAAAGACCAAGTTCATGTCAGTTTAGGTCAGATTTGATATCAAATTAATGAAAAAATACCTCTGTTATAGAGAGCTCTTTGATTTCAGAATCGAAAATAAGAGGTATAGACCTCGCTACCAAATTCTTCTTTTGGTTGGAAGAGTGTGATTATAACTTTTCTTGCTTTGTTCCTGCCTTCTGTCCTTTCCCTCCACCCTCAGCAATTCCAGAATATCTGTAGAGGTTTCCTGTTTCTTTATAGAATTGTATATTCAAGGTTGCAGAGCATTTAATTTTTCTAATTATGTAGCATTGGTGAAACACTTGCCAAAATTATAAGCATTTGCCCAAATGCAAATCATACAATGGCACTGTTGTCAATGGTAATTTCTCAATCTCTCAAAGAAAATCTATCTTACCTTATTGTTTTGGAAATTACTCTCCTTTTAGAAGTCAATGGCCTTTATCAGATTGTCCCAGCAGATCCTGGGGTAGAGCATGCCAGTCGGGAGGAGTTCCAGACCTCAGTCTTGAGGAGATAAAGCAGAAACTAAGCTGGAACCTCAAATGCACAGTTTGGGGAATCAGACTAGTGAGCGTGGACCAGGTCTGACATAAAACTGCATATGTTTAAGTTTTTACTTGATTGCCATGTGCTCAATTACAAAAACAACAAGGCAAAAATAAATTTAGTAAACTCTTAAAGGCCATTTTGGTGTTTATGTTCAGTTTGACTTAAAGCCAAGGTTGATGGTTTCCCTGCATGAAACTACTCCATGCTGGAGTCCTCTGAAACTCCATTTGGTGAAGGGCCTGAGTTACCTTTTTGCTTATAAGAGAGCTTTATGACTTTACACTACTTTATTTCCAAACTGTTCTTCACTAAACTTTGGAGAAGTTTTCAACTACTGTCATCCAACTACCCAGAGCACTTGCATTTTTGCTCTTGAGCTCCAGATATTCTGAGGGTAGCTCTGGCCATGAAAGCTAAACTGAGACATAATCAACCCTCAAGAGGTAACCACAGGGGCATACCATTTAGATTTGTTTGGAGATTTGGGTATAACCCTAGCTCTGCCATCATCTAGACTGACAACATTGGGCAAGTCACTTCCTCTAACTTATCTGTACGATGAAGGGAGAGGGTTTCTCAAATTTTATCACATATAAGAAATTAGGATTCAGGAAAGCTAGGAGACCCAGAAATCTGAATTTTTTTATAGGCACTCCAAATGATTCTGTGGTATGAGGTCTTCAGATTTTACCTTGGGAATATTGGGCAACTGACCACACAGAGCTACAACATTTGTCAGAGGTTCTCAAGTTTCAAGGTACATAAGAATCTCTTGGAAGTTTAATATGCAGATTCTTGGGCTTCACCCCTAGAAGGTGAAACTCATTGGGTGGGGTGGGCCCAGATAATCTGCATTTTAATCAAGCTCTGCAGATGATGCTGATGCAGAAGTTTCTCTGATAGTATTTGAGAAACTCTAGGTTGAATACTCTAAAAAAATGGGCAGAACACATGAACAGATACTTCTCCAAAGAAGACATACAAATGGCTAAAAGACGCATGAAAAAAATGGTCGTCATCATTAGCCATCAGGGAGATTCAAATCAAAACCACATTGAGATACCAGCTTACTTACACTAGTTAGAATGGCCAAAATTAACAAGACAGTTGGAGAGGATGTGGAGAAAGGAGAATCCTCTTACACTGTTGATGGGAATGCAAGTTGGTGCAGCCACTTTGGAAAACAGTGTGGAGATGCCTTAAGAAATTAAAAATAGAGCTACCCTATGACCCTGCAATTGCACTAGTGGGTATTTACCCCCAAAGATACAGATGTAGTGAAAAGAAGGGCCATCTGTACCCCAATATTCATAGCAGCAATGGCCACAGTCGCCAAACTGTGGAAAGAACCAAGATGCCATTCAACGGACGAATGGATAAAGAAGATATGGTCCATATATACAGTGGAGTATTATGCCTCCATCAGAAAGGATGAATACCCAACTTTTGTATCAAAATGGATGGGACTGGAAGAGATAATTCTGAGCGAAATAAGTCAATCAGAGAGAGTCAATTATCATATGGTCACTTACTTATGGAGCATGAGGAATAACAGAGGACATGGGGATATGGAGCGGAGAAGTGAGTTGGGGGAAATTGGAGGGGGAGATAAACCATGAGAGACTGTGGACTCTGAGAAACAAACTGAGGGTTTTGGAGGGGAGGGGGTGGAAGGTTGGGTGAGCCTGGTGGTGGGTATTATGGAGGGCACATATTGCATGGAGCACTGGGTGTGGTACATAAACAATGAATCTTGGAACACTGAAAAGAAATAATAAAATAAAATAAAAGAAAATGGGGGGGAAAAGAATCTTTCTGCTTTAGCACTATCTATGTTTTTGAAACTAGAAAATATTTGGCTCCTAAAGTGGCCTGTGCAGCATGTGATATGTGGATTGCTTCCTTCTGAGGCTCTGCCTGAGACTGTATGGTCATGTCTAAACAATGGTCTAGTGCAGGCCTGGCTCAGGAATGTGAAATGTAGCTGGCTTGGGGATAACAGAGAGGGTGAAAATTGAGCTGACCCTGCTCTCAGGCTCTATGGTTCCTGTTGGGAGGTTTGCACTGCTCTTCTCTGCCTGTGAGTGAGGCAGAAATATCCCTATATTAGAGATAGAACAGCAGCAGCCCAGCTGGGGTCAATCTGGTTACCAGTATGACTCAGACTTCATACCTTCCTTTAACTTTC